TGAATATAAAACGAAATAAGACTGCAAGTCTCTAGCAAACGCTCCAACTTGCGTAATATTCTAAGAACTATAGTTGAACTCAAAGCAAGTACTTTGAAATATTGTTCGATGTTGTTAATATGCGGGTAAGTACGTAATTCAAATAGTCAAGTACACGCAAAACAATGAGTGAGAATTGTTGTGGCTGGTTGAGGTTGATCGAAAAAAACAGCTGAACACGCTTCAATATGAAAAATCCAATTCGACCTCCGTTTCAAAGTTCATTTCGCACACCATTTTTTACAACAGTTGAACCAAAAAATTCTTGAGTTATCATTCTAATGCCGTCTTTTTCCAAGAAAAAGTCTTTCCATATCATCTATATAATGGCTGCAATTAAGCAAAAATGCAATCAATAGGAGGGAGCATTTTACATAGCATGGATGAAGACGCAGAATGTAGGAATGTAGGAAAAGAACTCGTAATATTTTTCCATATTGCTCGTTCATCAGGCAATCGACATTAATAACATCTCGAGATGTTGATTTCAATCTTTTTCATCACTGTTGTAATTTTCTATCACTTAAAACAGCAAACTGAGACTTTTCACAATTTTTATACATGACCTGTCATCACATACTGCGCGGATTCCATCATTTGTATTCCTTTCTCGCATTCACTATCCACACAGGTCTTCGAACATTTTCGTGCTATATCAATTGCTGCTTAAGGTTTTGATCTCTATCGTGGATATCGTCAATGCTGGTCGAGTCGAACACCATTGCAGCCCGAGTTAAAGCGTTCCATGGTGACTATAGGAGAGCGACGGAGAAGTACTCAAACCAGTGCCGCACTTTTGTTAGCTTGCACCGCTATCCACTTCGTTGTGTCTCCCTATAACAAATGGGCACTACCCTTGAGTTTTGTGTTAGTCAGTTTCATGCAAATTAGTCAGTTTCATGCAAATTATGTTCGTTAGGTGAACAGGCCGAGCATAAGAGTCGACGACTACTCACCAAGAGCATATCCAGTGATTGTTCGACCAATCTGGAAGGGGGATCCCAAGTCACTGTGATTGAAACGAATACAGCAATCAAAATAGAAACTGAGCCTTTACCGCTCCAGCTATGTTGTGTATGAAAGTGTCGTTAGTGATTAGGAAGAATTACGGTAGTGGAGGAATGGCAAACATGGAAGATAACGTTGATGGAGGTCATGCGTCTCTTGTGTTTGCAAGTGTAGCAGCGTGCAGATTACAGAGTTATTTGCAGAGTCAGTCACTGACTAGCATAGCGACTTTTCCTCCACGAGAAAGTTTATCATCACATATCATAAATCCTTGAACTTACCTGATAAAAGAGGGGATCATACCAATAACCGTGTTAGTATATTATTACATCAAGCACTGAACTGAGAATGTGATAGCCATGTTGCAAGAACTTTGTGCTCCATTACTTCACAAATTTTCCCAAAAACGTCACTTCATTTTTGAACATTTGTGAAACTCATATTTACGAAAACTCGGTAATAATTAAATTTGCCAATGTTCTGGTCGCAAAAGACAGCAATGGCTTTGAAAATATCATTAGGTAGTCTCCGACATAGTTCTGCTTCTTCTATCGCTTTTTCTCCACTGGGAATTGAAGGCTCAATCCAAGGAAAGAAAATGAACATGAACGACATCACGGATTACTATAAAATTATGCCTAGTGTAGGCAGATCAAGAAGTATTCCGCGTCAAGAAAGATATGCAGGCTCACTAGTTTAAGCATATAATGATTTCTAATATGTTTTTGAGAGTTTTCAAAGAAAAATCATCAGTTTAGGCCTTTTATGAGCCATAAATGACTCTAATCGCAATGTTGGAGTAATTTCTATTACGCAAAGAAGACTAGAATAAACCAGTAGTAATTAGTCAAGACATCAATCACAGCAACGACATGGCTGAAAGAAAGACAAACCAAAGATCTGATGATGTTGAGGTTAACACATGCACCTGAAAAAGTGATGGTGGATAAAGCCCAATTAAACCTCCAGGTTTTGCTCGTCTCTCATTTTTTCGGTCGTATTTCACATGACACTCTGCCATGAAAATGAATAGGCAATAGTCAAAAGTTAAAAGTTTGAGTCAGTAAACTGCACCACAACTGATAAAGACAAAAAGATATATTACAAGAAAAGTAGGTGAATATGAATGTCTATCATCATTATTTCACGCCATGCTCAACACGAATGTAATTCTGTTGAGGTTCCCCTAGCAGAATCCCGTTGGAGTACTACTGGTTAGAATGACCTAAAAAGAGACGAATATTTATGCGAAAAAAGTTCCTTCAATCCATGTCTCGCATGACGTTGCAAGGCAAAAAATATGAATGTTTCTCATCTCTCTCGACCACAGTCTGCACAGATTGAGGCACCAATGATAATCGTCGGAGTGAAATCTGAAGGTGAAAACTGTGGGGAAGAAAGAAGCGACTAGTCAACGAAAATGAGACAGATGGTTGGAGCTATTTGGAAGGATAAGATTCCCTCACATCTATAGGCTACCGCATGCCACTGTAAAGGGCATATTTCCATTAAAGCACCTTCTGAAACACCTGATCACCTTCTGATCAACCGAGTACATGGCGCATAGAGACTGATCAACGCCGAACGTTTTAACCTTTATCTCTTATCGCCAACTTCACTAGATCTCCAGCTTTTTCATCATCATTCTGTATTCCTGATCAAATCATAAAGCTTAGCACCTACTAATCTATGCAAAATTGATCGCACACGTGAATGTGAATCGTGTTCAATTGAACACAATTAGCCTTTCATCAACATATTATAGTCTAATCAACTGTTGAGCAATGCCGCCTTTATCGCATCTTTTATCGATAAGATTGCATCAAGCTCTTAATTTCGTATTCTGTATAGATTTTGGCGCCTTCGGCTTCCTAGAAATCGTATGAATTCAAGAATGTGAGATCATAGTACACAATCTTTTTTTCATGAGATGAAGGTTTTCATGGTCGCACCGACTTGAATCCGCTAGAGCACAAAGGAATAGGGCTTTATACCAACATAGTAATGTCAGTTTTATAAATAAAAAGAGAAGGAAAGGAACCACTTACCTACGCAGAGGTTTCATGAAAGTCGTTAGCAATATGAGGTTTTTAAAAAACAAAAAACCCGATCGTTCCATTGTGTCTAGTTATTTTGCTTGTTAGTTGTTATCAAGGCATGTATGCTGAAATATTTCAGATGTTCGCAGCAAACCCATGCAACTGACACTGTTCTCAATTCTACAAAGAGAAAAGACTAGGAAGATGCAAATGGCAGCATTTCATATGATGAATCAGTACCGTAAATATTGTCCCCTGTTTTAGGTGTCAATATGAATACCATATTGTCTGTACATAGAGTTTCAGATAACAATTCAGTTACAATACGGGAATACTCAATTGTTATCGATTCCTGGCTGTTCATAGTCGTGGTTCGAAAAGCAGGTGGTGGAAGTGGCAATACTCAATAAGTAGCACACGCTGGTTAGGCTATATTGTAGTGGTGATCAAGATAGAACGATCCTCCCACAAATTTGTTTGTCAAGAGTTCATTCTCTTCTATGAATTCCGAGGTTTTCTTATAGACATTTCAAATATTCAAATCTCAGGAACTGTCTCTGACGAGCTGGCGTGAGGTTGGAATCAATTGTTACTCTTGCTCTTGTCTAAAATGACTGCAAAAATTCTTCACACAATATACATATCTTATACTATTCTCCAGGCATGATTATTGGTTATACTGCTTGGATCTTTCATGACTGACGTTCTCTGATAACGATGGCAATGGCGAGGAAAATTGCAGGAAATTATTCGATGCGGTCGTCTGGCTTTTTTGTTCAATAACATTCGTCACCTCTGTTACAGAAAATCAATCAAGGCAGTATCTAACCTTAGAGTAAACAGAACACGCGCTGTTTTCACATCTGCCCGGAATGCCTGGATAGGACTTTGTTTTGATGGAAATGACATGAAGAACAAACATAAATCCACCACGCAAACCCACGAAGACTTACGTAACGAATTCCCCAATCGCACAACGAGTACAAAGGCATGGACTCTTGAAGACGGTCTGCATGATGTGTAGAGCTTGATTTCGATTGAATCGTTGAAGGTCTTTTCCTTTTCTTAGAGTGACGTGACGCACGGATCTATCTTACGGATTGTTCGGCCATAGCACCACCGTCTCCACAGTAACCACCTGAGAGATTGTGACTGCAATTAATGTGCTTCGACTTCGGAACGTCTAAAAAGCCAATTAATATTCTTTCTTATTTCTAGGTTAACATGAGGTTCAGATAAATCTTCATTGCGACTAACGATTCGGTGATTTTCAGAGCCATAATTGTTCACGTCAAGTCTCCATAGCAGTTATTTTTCTTCCAATTTTAGTATCCTTAACCGTCGCATCGATACGAATCGTGTGATGTAGATTACTCTTTACGATTGACGTAACGTTCTCGCCATCCTCAGCGTCGTCTCCTATACAGGAAACCAACGACCCAGTATCATTCGGCAGCTCTCCAAGATACAAGCAGATCCTAGTGCGATTGTCGACCAATTCTTATTTGTTTCTCCTGTGACAATCCATCCTACAGCAGTCGAACTGATATTAGCCAACATATAAGATAGCAAACTTTGGGTTTTATGATCATTAAATCTCGGGGTGTGCGATCAATATTCCTTTATAATTGTGAGCTAATACTGGATTAGACGAAAGCGCTGGAGCGCTAGCCACAATAAAGATTTATAATAGACTCGTGTTGGCTCACAAATAGAAAAGGAATAATCCCAGTCTTAGGTATATATAAAACATCATAACACTGTAAAAAAGGAGCAAAAATAGCGGAAATCTTGAGTATTAGTTATCACAATGGCTGTCAGCTCAACGGGGTTTATGAAGCGAAATCGCATACCCGATCAAACCTGTTAAAGGTTAGTTGCTGACAGCTATCATAGAGATATTGCAGAATAAGTGGTGGTGCGAATGTATTTTGGTGATGAGTGGTAGCACGCGTCCCCGGTATGGATGAAACGCGGGTTCGACTCCCGCCTGAGGTCGCAGTTTTGCCCACCACTCAGTTCTCTTAGATAAACATGAAACATCATGACATTGCGAAAAAAAAACAGTAGAAATACTAGAATTCTCGAGAAAAAGAGTAATAATGGTCCACACCGAGATTTGATGAAAGTCTGAATTCAAGGTCAAGACTTCTGTGCATGAAGCATAGGAGATTTGGCATATTCTAAAAAGCCAAAATCACTTTGTAACGTCAATACTATGAATAGATCATCAGATAAAGATGAATAGGATTGAAGATTTGAATCGGTTGGACTTCAAATGCTGCTTGCTCGAATAATCTATATTAAATATAGAATTTCAATCTTAACGACAGCGTCTTACTTTAGTGACCACTGAACAAAACTGGATATCAAAATGGTGCAAAGCTTGGTAGAAAAATTGAGATAAACACACATGCCTTCTTTTTGAAGTTGTGAGAATACCATAAACGTGGTCGTGAATTGTTTCTCCTCCACTATTCAGACGTTTCCGGATTCTGACGAGACCCACTGAACGATTTTTTATCGACACTTTCCAGATTTAAGTATCATAAGGTTCGCTAGTTTGCTGTTTTTTTTGATTCCTATTCTGCTTACTTTTAACGATGACACTATCTCTACCAACTCTTTTTTTCCGCCATAATCAGCGACAAAGTTGTCACTTTTTGCTAGTGATTATTCTTTAGAAAGAGAAGGACTATATTTACTCTTTATCCATCGAAACTTTTACATGTTTGCTCACTTCTTCTCTCTTAAATAGTTACATGCTTGGGTTTTCCGAAAAGAGTCAACATTATGCAGAAGATGGTTGACACTAACTTATTCAACACTGCTCATGGTGCCTCAAGAAGCACTATAAGGGTTCGCATAATGTGCACGAAATTTCTTTTTCTCTTCTTTTTCTTTTCCCAAAATTTTTTCCGCAAGCAAGCTTCTCTCTAGGTAGAACTTTGTACTTTCTTTTCAGATCTTTGTCAACAGGCGTCTTTGAATATCAACAGCCATTACTAAGGCCATGAATCTAAAAAGAAAACGTCTGCAAAACGCCCTAATATGCAGTGGATTATTAGGTCTCCAAGTTTCCGAACTTTATCCAGAAAATAAAAGTTTTCTCACAAAAATAAATTTTTCTTTTACATATTTCGTGCAGAATTTCTTCCGCATCGTTTGGTATATTTTTGCACATACTTGTCCAACAGTAAAGCCGTCACGGAAAGTCATTTGCAAATTACTCCTTTACGAGTTTTAATTGGGGCACAGTTTTCAAGTGGATAGAACTACGGCTTATGAATGATTTACAAAGTTTTGCCATGGAGATGGTGCTTTGGCCTTTCATCCAAGATCCCGAAGACCACGTGAAATTGATCGAGAAGCAATCATTGAAGCAACTGGAGAAGATCCGACTTTGTCCACCGGTGATTTGGCCGATGATTTCCGGATTTGATTTGTTGCCAGAGCGTTGGTAGAATTATATTCAGGCAGACGGAGAATACTTCAATCAACGTTATTTGATATTTTCAATTAATTGGAAAGATAAATGTTTGAATTTTTGGACCAAGTTCGGAAACTTAGTTGGAGACCTAATAAAAATACGCTGTTGAAGACTATATTATGTTTGAATGGATAGCATAGCACATAATCGAGTCTTAGTCATTCATTAGTCGCCTGAATGAGTTTGTTTGCAAACTAAGTAATGTTTGAATGATCATTAATTCTGTACCCTGTTATCAGGACTGAGCAACTGTCGCATTATCAGTAACTGTTTGCTTATCATCAACTACAAAGCAGAAACTATAGACTATAAACAAGTAACTACAAACTAGAGACTGGCGTCTGCGTCTCCGTCCGCGAGTACGCACTCTCGTGTTGATCACGGGGCGATGGACAAATGCAGAAGAACTCACCCACTGTGTATAAATACCCCTGCGTGTCAGCTGTCACTTCTACATCAGTGGTATCGTAATCACTCCGATTTCTGAACATCATGGCCGGCAAGTGTGGTACGTTTCAGTTTCTTTGGCTTACATGATCACACGATAAAAGCTCCACCACGAACTTCGCGACCGGACCTTTTTTTCGTTCTTCTCGAAGGGGCCATTGTAAGCGATTCATCTGTCCTAGGGTGGAATCCATTTCATTCGTGGTTCGAATCAAATGGAAGCCATGTGAATTACCCGAAAAGTGCTCGTTTCAGCGTGTCTTAGATCTTCTTCGTTGGCATCTCATACCACCCTTAATAAAATCTAAGACATTCAGAATGCTAGACATAGTCTAATGCTTGCATCGTAACCTTCTGTCAATGATGAGCTTATCTTTTGAAATGGGACTGGATTCTCGGCCTTCCATACTAATATGAAAGACGTTTTTCAATGGAAAGAGACTTTTTAGCTTAGCCATACCCTATGATTTCAATTTGGCCTGCCTTTTCGTACCAGCTAATATGTGTTTTCTTCTTTTGAGCAAAGAAATACCGTTTTATCTCGGCCTCCACCTGATTTTTCGATGACAGAGATTTTGATGGGTTTCCTTGACGCATTAGTAGCATACATCGGGTGGATGAAGTCTTTCTTATTGATTTGGCCATAATCTATGAGCGACTATAAGCGCTAGCTTCAATGCCTGCAATGCAAGAACTACGTGCATTTTCAACTTGAGGTCAGCATGCCTCAGCTTACAGTAAGATTAGTTAAGTGATATAAGAGAACTTGAATTTACAGATCATTGCTTTCAAAATACTTTTTCAATTCTGACGAGATGAATCCGATTTTTTAGGCTTAGGATACATGTTTCTCTCGGATTTTTCGGTCAGGCTTATCACTATAACACGAAATAAATAGGAAAAGCTGGTTCCGTCCATTTATGGGCTTCCCAACTATATTTTGTTTTTGTAACAACGGTGCATGTGTGTTCGGGACTTTAAGTGTTTAGATTCTCTTCCAAGATATTTTCAGTACTTAAACACTAGGCGACCTTACAGTGGAATCGATGCCATGCGATTACATGTATGCCTAGATGGATAGAACGGAGTCTACTTCATCAATGACTTGAAAGAGTTAGTGCGATTCTAGGCCACTGAGTTAATCAAGTTGCGGTCTTACTTAAACTGCAACAGCAGTATCGTTGCTTTGAAGCTGTTCCGAAACGGTCAGAGATGAATTAGTTGTTTATCGGGAAACCGTTTCCCGCTATTATCAGTTACAGTAATCTATTTCACGATCGCTCATAACACAAAAGACGTAATAAATTTCAGATAATGCCGATACGGTAACATTGCTGAATATCTCTCTCCGAAATTTTGTTATGCATTTCTGAACTATTGCATATTGCGAAATAACATACGAACGTTGTTGTCATAATCGTTGCCACTAATACCCCATGAGACCCATAAATTATTTGAGAGAAACGAACATATACCGTATCGACTCATAGATATTGTGCTGATTGGTCCACTTTCTTCCACTGCAACTAGCCGCTATCACAGATTTTTTTTCCAAAATACATTTGCAAAAGTATGCAAGGTGACTAGTGTACAACTAGTCCGTCTTGTTGAAAAATCTTTGGGACATGAAGTACCTCAAAGCTGTTTTCAATCCGTTTCAATGGGTGAGTCAACTTGTTGACAACGTAGAGGTGGCGAGGCAGTAGGATTTGGAAGCGCGTTCATCGATCTTTCATGGTGCAAGGTTCATTCTTTTCGATAACAACTCTATAAGAAAACATCAACGAACGCCTTAGTTGAGCTGTCTCCAATATGTCAAGGAGGTTTTCTCATGAGCATCATGAAAAAAACGAATCCTTGTGCAGCAGCCGAATCATCACGTGAAACTTTTGAAGACCTTTATAGTGGATGAATGCTTAAGAACATATTGAAGTGTTGGGATTTGCATTAAAGTAGACGGTGATTACGGATGGTGTAAATTGAATAAGTAAATATTTCACATTTAATAACGTTTCAACGAATTTCATATTTTTCGAAAAGGGAAAACGTTAAACTGACTTCAATCTGGCCATTCGACTAACTCCATAACCTCAACAAAAACTTTGTAATATATGAATTACAAATGAGCGGATTGTTTTCTATGGGTAGGAGAGCGAGAGTTGCACATTACCCTTTCAAGTGGACTCTAATTGATCTCGACTTGGAATACTCATAGGAAGGCTCGTAGAATACGATGCAGTGTGAAGAAACTATTTTATCTCAACGATCCCTAGTAGATTTCGAAGAATACAAAATCCGTTGAAATGTCAGCTGTATCTAAATATTACAATAACAACCTCGTGTATGCTTATGAAGAAAACCATAGATCATCGGCCAGTGTCTATGGGTGGATAAAAATTTGGTTCTACAAATTACGTTTCTTTTACTTTAACAGAAAAGAAAACTACGCAAGTTCATTTAACCCTCAAAACTAGGAAAACTTCCAAATTCTTGACACTGTTTGCGCATAATCTACTAGTAAATGTCTTGGTGATATTTTCAGCAAAATGCGGTTGTGCTGACGGTTGCAGATGCTGCGAAGGTGGTGAGTGTGAAAAAGGCTGCAAGTGTTGTTCGAAAGGCTGTGGCTGTGGTCCTCACTGTAAATGTGCTACTGCGAAGTGCTGTGGTGCAGAAACCGGACATAAATGCTGTACTGACGACAAGAAATGTGGAGAAATGGGCAAGAAATGCTGTGAAGGCAAGGCGTGCTGCAAGTAATCTGCAACGAGTGGTCGCGTCCGTTACTCAACACTATACTCAGGTTGACTTTCCACTATAAAACCTTACATGAGTATTTCGGAAAAGAGAGCATGTGTCGCAGTAGTTAGAGGTGTTCTGCGTCGCACGCGAGGTCAATGGTTCGATCTCGCGCTCATGGCTCACCAAGCCATCCGTCCCTCCGGGGTCCGCAAATTGGTTTGGTACCGGACTGGTGTCAGATTGTCTTGGAACATAAGAAGCATTGACTCGGATCAGCGGGAGGCCACCGCGAGTCATTGTAAAGGCCAGATATGCATTCA